TATTGATACTATTTTTGTGTGGATTTGATGAGTGTGAATTTTTTATCATCTTTTAACAATATACTCATATACATATTTATTTGAGCAGAGTTGCATATTGGCAAATTTTTTTTTAAGTTAGTGTATAGAAACCTACGCATAGCTTGTATCTCATATAACCAATTACATGCATATGCACACTCGAAAGGAATTTAAAGTCAACAACCACTAAGGACACCATACATGATAATATGAACCCCGTTCATGTGAAAATGAAGTGAAACTACACTATACATGTCAACCAACAAGCCAATATTATATATATTTTACGTAGATGTGGAAAATATGGATTTGACAAAAAAAATCTCATGTGCCATTTAACAGTATTATACAAAGAAAACATCTTAAAAAACAATCTTAGATTTTTTTTCAAATTTTTTAATTTTTCTGGTATTTTCAAAAACAAAAAGAAAAGAAAAAAGAATTTTTTATATAAGTAGGTAAAAAACAAAAGAAAAGAAAGAGAGAAATTTTATCTTGTTTTTTAAAATAAAAAGAAAGCAAAAAAATGTAAATACAGCAAGTGGGATTTATAGACTATACATTGTACTTACCCCTATTTGAAGATTTGCTGAACCAATCATTTATACAAGCATTGTGTGCTTTTGCAACAAATCCACACTTGCATAATAAAACCCTTTTTGCTACATTTAGTAATTTTATTTGCATCTAAAAGTTTTACACTTTTAGAATAAATATCAAAGAGATACGAACTATAATTATTTGTATGTCTATTAATCAGTAAAAATAGCTGAACCTATTTAAAAAATAATCGGTGTTGTATGAGTATATTTAGAAAACGAGTAAACATATCTATGTTGTGGAATCTACTAATGGATATGAGATTATCACTAAGCCCATAAAACATTAAGGAGTTTGAAAGAAGCATTATCTATTTGAAATAAGCATTATCTATCTTACCAACTCTAACAATTTACCTTATTTGTTGACCTCAAAAGTGACATATCCATTTTTCTTCTTAATTAGGCTAAAGAACAGATTTTTGTTTCATGTCATATGCTTTGAGCAAGTGAGTTGAATTCAAAATATTATCGTCCTGCACCACTACAATAAAGAAGAAATGTGTGACCTATGTATTCACATACGTCCACTCTGAGTAGGAATAGCCTATTTGGGTACCCAAATGTGTTTTAATGTAATATAAGCTTGAATTTGGAATGTAAAGTCTTTCTTCATGGATCATTTTTCTTGAAATTTTAAAAATACATTCTAAAGTAGTATATATATAGAAATACATTTTTGTTGAAATTTTAGACCTTAGTTTTTGCAGGTCCTCTTGCTGAGAGGATTAGTGGCCGATTGTCACATGCCTTGGTTTTATTATCGTTTTCATTAATATTTATGTCGGTTCAGGGCGTGACATTTACCATCTTGGTTTGATATTGCATGTAACACGACATAGAGAGATGCCCCATTCTACCACATGATGTGCAAGTAGTATATAATGCACTAGAGATCAGAGCATAAAAAGTCAAATTATTCCCTTGCACAAAAGATGGTTGAATTCTCTTTTTCTTGTTGGAATATAAATAACCAAGTCTAGTTTTAGCTTTTGTTGACTAGAAAGGACCATGTTTAAACATTTTGAGCCCAACAGAATTTTTTTCACGATATTTCCTAAATTTTTTTGGACTTGAGCAATTCCGTTTTAGACACAATTGTAATGCAACGAGTTTCAAACTTCTTTTGCTCATTAGATAATTCACATGAAAGAGTAGTTAACTGACCGACTAAGTCATCATTTTCAAAATTTAGGGCATTTAATTCTATTTTTAACTCTTTATTCATATCTCTATATATGGAGCATTCAAGATAGATATGAGATGAAGCGTTTGAACTAGCAGTGTCAGGAGCATTTAATTCCAAAGTAATTTTTTTTAATTTCATATGCAAAATTTTGTTATCCTTAATTTGAATGCATTTTTTTCAAAGATCTATATTTATCAATTATCATCAAGTTTCTCTAATTGACTGAGCTTTTCACCATATTTAGCATATAATTCATCATATGAAGAGTATACCTCATCGTATGAACTCTCGTTCTCGGAGTTGTCTGAAGTCTCACTTTTTGCCATGAGCCAAAGATGTGTGCCTTCTTCTTGTTGTCTCTCGAACTTCTTCTTGTTGTCACTCGATCTGCTCTCTGACTTCTCATCTCCACTTGAGATGTCCCTCGTTGTTCCTTGAAGCTCTTGCCTCTTCCCTTTTGCTCTTTGTTTTGGAGACATTCATTTTGGAAGTGATCGAGTATACCTACAATGATGACAAACTGGTTCACAATTAGAATCACCATATTTACTTTTCTTACCTTAGAGCAATTCTGATTCCTTTTGTTGCATTGAAACTTTTGACCATCCTTCGATTTGAGAAAGAATTTGAGTCCTTTGACAATTAAGCCTATGCCACCATCATCCTCATCTTCTGAGCTGGAACTCGACTTAGCTTTGTTTTTGCTTTCTCAGCTTTAAGAGCCACAAATTTCTTTTTGGACTCTTCCTTCATGTTTTCTTCTAGCTCATCTTCAACCTCATCTTATGTGTTATGAGATTACTATAAAATTTTCAAGAGCCATGTTAGATAAAATATGTGACTCTTCAATAGCTGTTGTTACCTTGACATCCCATTCATGTGGGAGTGAATGAAGAAATGTGGGGATGAGCTCGTCCTTATGATACTCCTTTCCAAGTGCTCACATATTATTCATGATATTAGTGAATCTGGTAAACGCCTCCTGAATCATCTCGGATGTCTTCACCTTGAAGTTCTCACACTTGCACACTAGAACAGCAAGCTTGGCTTCATTGACCTGAGACGGTCCCTCATGGGTGGCTTCTAATGTTTTCCTGCACAATCACACAACTAGAAATACTATTAAATTCTTTAGTAGTAACTGACTAGTAAAGAGCATTCATTGATTTAGCATTTAAAGAGTATAACTTCTTTTCTTTATCATCCCACTTGTCCTTAGTTTTGATAACCATGGTTTTTGCTGTAGTGGTAGTGGGTTCGTTATAATTAGACTCAACCATGTTCCAAACATCATAGTCAAATGGACAAAAGAAATACTCTCGTACGAGCTCTTCAATATGAAAAGTTCGTGCACCATCAAAAAGTGGGGGTCGGTTAACGACATAGCCTTCACGAAAAGCGGTTGAGCTTACTGAACTTGCCATCTATCCTTAGGATGATGTTAAGCCTGGACAAGGATGCCTAAGCTCTAATACCACTGTTGGTATCTAGATGCAAGCCTAGAAGGGAGAATTGAATAAGATTGCTACCGTTTTTCAAACAATCATAGATTTTGCAGCGAAAATTAAATAGAAATAATAAAACGATAATCAACACAATAAACTAAAAAACAATCACGACCATAACAAACAATATTCTACAGTGGTTCAACTAAACAATCCTTCATCCATTTTTCCCTCTTGGGAAAAGGCTTCCTAAATATATGAAAGGTCTTCTGAATTTTACAAATCTGATTCAGTAGTCTTACAAGATCGAAGCCCTATTTTCTTCCAAATTAGCCATCTGACATAAACTATCACAGTGGGAAACCCTAGCCCTAGCTAGTAACCATATCCTCAATTACACTCTGGCTTGAGTATGTTGTAAACCCTCTTTCTCAATTCACACCGGCTTGAATATGCCAAAAAACAATAGATCAAGCGATCGTAAAACAAGAGTAAAATAAAGATCAATATCATTATGCACAATATAGAAAGATCTTACAGCCTTTTTGTTAAACCGTTCTTTGAAAGATTCAATTGAAGATCTATAAGAACCGGTTAAAATTGAGATCTAGGGCAATGCTCGACGGTTGATGATCAGATGGTGAGGAGCACGATGAGGATGTCTGAGAAGCTCTGGGGAGGTGGAGATGAGATTCTTTTCAATAAGTATCAAACTCTTAACTCTCTCTTCCACTCTTTTCTTCTCTCAATTAGGTTAGGAACTTCTGTAAAAAACGAGAGAAGGATTACTCTACACAGCTTCAATGAACGGTTGAGATTAAAATTTGAAACCTGAGTTTTCGTTCGAGTCTCATTAATGAGACGGGAATGCTCACCGATGAGAGTATGCATTCTCATCAACGAGGAAAAAGTCTTTGGACTTTTTTCTAATCGGTGAAGAGTTACAACTGATAAACGTAGAACTATTCTCATCGATGAGAAAGAATATCCATCGATGAGTATCTTTGCTAAAGTTGCTGTTAAGCTGATATTCACTCCTTTTGGACTCAATCGCAATTCTAACTTGTTATAACCTGCGCAAAACATCTCTACCACATATTAGAACCAAATGAATGTTTGTTATTATTCAAACTAAGTCAATTGTCAGACATAGGTCTAGCAGGATTTACAATAATTCTCACTGTTATGTTATACTTGCGGAGTATTTCTTCTGTTATCACATTCCGAGGTAACCCCTTATAATAACATTTGCTCAACGAATAACCCCCTTACATTAAATGAGTTCAGCATATACCTACACGTTCTATTACCTCTAAATTACGTTGGGAACCAGCGGATTATCTGCTCAACTAGCATCAACATAGGGATATTATCTGCTCAATTAATGTCATGCAGGTGGCTTGTTTGTCGAATCTAATAGAATCGGGGTAGGTGTGGATGTTGGTGGGGTATAATGTAACAGTTTAGACTGAATTGGGTGGTGGTTTTTTTCTTGGTGGTGGTGTGGGGGGTGGGGTGGAGGGGGAGGGGTGGTTCACTGAGAACATTACTAGTACAGCGGCTGAGAGTGGGAGAAAAGGCGGGTTGTTTCTATTGTTCTAATCCTTAATGTTTGTTTGTTGACCTCAAAGTGCATTTTCTTTTAGTAGTCCGAAATAGAAGTAATACTACCATATTTTTAGTCTATGCATTTTTTAATTTCTTATGTGCGTCTTTAAGACATGTCTCTTCATGCTACATCTTTAGGTGCATATGAGCTTATTAAAGACGAGAGCAGGGCTGGGGCTTGTCTATGGATCACTAAGCGTAGGGGTATGGAGTATTGGCCTACTCCTATGGAGGAGAGAAAATATAGAGTCAAATCATTCAAGTCAACAAGAAGCTTGACATACGCTGCACCTAGCATCGAGATACCGCAGGCTTACAGTAAAGTGTATGTTATCTACATCTTTTTACCTATCTGTATGTCATCTTCTGTACACACACTGGTCAAAACAGTTAAGTTTGTGTACGTTGAAAAACTAATGTATATTTCATTAATGATTTGAATGCATGTCTGTGGACAGCTATATAGCACAGGTAAAATTACAAAAAACTAAACAAAATCAGGATTAGGAGATAACTTTTACTGGAAAGTTGACTCTTAAATCTAAGCAGTTCATAATTAATACAGTACTCTGACTGAGTTAAGGATAAAATACTGTATTAAAATCCTTTTAAGTGTACTTGTAAAATCTTGAATATGCTTAGGTTTCCTTCCACTAAATATTACAAGCAGATCATGCTCTTATATTTGTATAGTTCTTCAAATCTTTGAGCTAGTGTGGGTTGTTTTATACTAAACATTGCCATTTACCCCTTACAGTACAAATTCTTTGTTACAATTTTAGATTGACCGTAATACAGTGTCCTGCAATGTTTCTTATAGCTAATTTTGCATAAATCTTTGTGATGAAATTATCCTTTTTATGATTTTCATTTTTTCACATAAACTCCATCCTGAAGCTGAATTGATGAGGAAATTATTGCTGAAGCTTCCTCTAGTTATAAGTTGTTGAAAGGGCAATAACCTGGGAAACTATGTAAATATTGTTGAAAGGGCAATAAGCTTCCTCTAGTTATAAGTTGTTGAAAGGGCAATAACCTGGGAAACTATGTAAATATTGTGAATTCTTGAGAATATTTAGCTTCATTGACAATGTAAAGGAACAAATTGGGACTAATGCTATGTTCACTGTTTCAGTTTTTATAATGGACAGAAGTACTGATCCATTTTGGTCTAAGAGTATCAATAGACATTAATATTTTCAATTTTTCTTTGAACTGACACTCTAAATCTGTTCTATTGTTCCAAAACCCGAAGTTGTATTGAGATGCACTCTACAATTTTGATTGGCTGAGTCTTTCTTGTAGGTTGATGCCTGTATGGAGTCAACCTATGTTTTGCTTTCAATATTTTGTTTTTTAAATGGTTTTTTTGCATATATTACCCTTAAATCATCCATATTTGCAAATTTACCCCTCAAATCTCAATATTTGCAAAACTACCATCCAAAACTCTCAAAATTTCATTTTTCTGCCCCTCACTGATAATTGTGTTGGAATTTTTAGAGGTTACTGGATGGATTTATAAATCTGCGCCCATCTCAACTATCCCCAACTTCTTTCCTCCCTTCCCCAATCTCAGATACTCAAAAGAACTTCTCCACCTCACCACCTCAACCTCGCCCCCCTTCTTCAACTCCCTGCCATGGTCGAGGGAATCTCCGGAGACCTTTAATTTGGTGATGAGTTCCATTTCAAACATTTCAGGAGGGAAATTGTGGTGGGATTTGCTGAAGCCGTCAAGGGCCTTTGTTGGCGGTGACAGTGGAATGGGTGCATTGGGTGAGCTTAGAGATGAAAAGGAAGTTATGGATCAAACGCCATGAGAAGTTGTTGCAGAGGCGGAGGAAAAGCTCGTGGGTGAGGGTTAAATTGACTTTTTGGGTGGTAGGTTTGGAGGTTGCCAGAGAAGAAGACCTGGAAGAATGAGATCAATTTTAGAGAAGGAAATGGGGAAGAAAACTTGAAGGAGATGCTGTAGAAGATAATTTTTTTTTAAATAATGGAAAAGATTATTACAAAGAACTAAAATGAAGTAGACGATGAGAGGAGTATAAAACCCCTATGAATTCTGATTTTGTAACCTTAGTATTGGGGTACTTTAATCAATAGATAATTGCAAAGTATAAATTAAGAGAATATACCGGTTATATTCCTTAACATAGTTAAGTGAGTAGTTTTTTTTTCCAATGTTATGAATTGGAGGGTTGCAAATAATAAGATTTGAGGGGCAATTTTGCAAATGTGGATAATTTAAGGGGTATATATGCAAAAACCCCTTTTTAAGCATATCCCTCCAAGACTTCCTTAATTTTCCTTCTCAATCTCTGGTATTTGATGCATCCCTCCAAATATCTAAAATTTCTCACAAAATGGCTGATATCCTGATTCCTACTCAATTTTGTTTTCCCCTCTGTTTTTGACTTGAGGTTGGGGCATTTAATTTATCTGAGGTTTCTTCCAAAAACTTAAAAATTTGTTGGGGTTTTGATCAAGGATTAAAGATTTAAGGAGGGTATATTGAGAAAAATTTGAAAGAGGGTTTATCTAAAAACCCAAATATGTTATATATATGCCTTTCTAAATCTCTGAATCTCTCTTTTAGCTTGCTGAATCGGCCATGACTGATTTTCTGTCACAGGTGCAGAACTCTCTTTCATGTACACATAACAGCTGAGACAGATCCCTTTTGGTTTGTAGTTCTAATTTTGTTTTTACTTCTTAACACAAGTTTTTTTTTTTTTGCAGCTTCTGGTCTTTAAACAGTTTGAAAGCTCTCTGTGTTTAATATTTTCCCGCATCAGATTGTGTTTATATTTTCTTGGATATGTGAAACATTACTTTTCTTTGTCCTAAGAAATATTGGTTATTTGGTATATAATAGTGAGAAAGTGTGTATGCATGTATTTTGGAAATGTTTTTATTTTATGCTTCTATCTCATTATTTATGTAATTTTTATCTAGTTTTCTTTTCATTGTCGTCATCAATATATTGTTGCCTTTTCTTTTGAGGTAAAGTTAGTGTTACTTTTCAAATGTCTATATATTCTGCGACATAACTTTTTCTTTTTTATTATTAATTTTCAATGAAACTTCATGCTACGTTATTTGTCATGCAGAATTGTACACACCCTTAATCATAATTTCAGAAACGCAACCAGAGTTGTTCAAACACAGTTGACTTTTCCCCTCAAAGCACATCATGCCCTTGTCAAAGTCATATATGCTGGTGTAAACGCAAGTGACGTATGTTCTCTTCTTATTAGTTTCTGAATGTATATAAGGGCCTTACTGCTTACATGATTTTTAGTTTATATATACTGCTTCCATATTCTTTTTCCTTCTGGCCTGATGTGGAGTGTGTTTTGAAGGTAAATTTCAGCTCTGGGCGTTATTTTAGCGGCAACAATAGAGATGTCACTGCGCTTCTTCCATTTGATGCTGGTTTTGAGGTGTGTTTATTTTCACCATAAGAATAGATTCCCTTGCAGCAATTTTTTGTTATGAGAAGTGAAGAAGACCAAATATGCTTTTGCATTAACTAGAAAATAATGCCCAAGAAGGGGAGGAAAATAACTAATTTGATCAAAAGTTGGGGTCTTATGATCTGTTATTATACATGTTCTGCGTTGTCCCTTACCCACCTGCATCCATACCCGTACCTATGCAAATTAGTCCTACTTTATGATATTGCCGTGTCCCTACTGGTGGATCCACCTTGACCAAAGTGGGGTCATTTGACCCCACTTTAGCTAAGGAGGATCAAGAACCACTTTGTGCAGCCCGATTTGTACAGTAACATCCTACCTTGTTAGCTCAGCTCAAATGCCTGGCGTTACTTAGCTTTAGTGCTGGTGAAAGTAACTCATAATTAACCAAATAACTAATGTAGATGCAAACATTGCATTACAATTGTCATGAACTGCTGCTCATAATGTCACGCTAAATGCTGGATACTGGACTGGTCACTTAACCATGGATCTGCACAAACCAAGGCACCTATTCAAGAAGGATATTCTGCAATGATGTGTCTAAAAATCTTGGCCAGTATGTAGTTAAAGGAGTGTCTTTAAATCGTGGATTGTTCATAGTGTACAGAAACTTAATAAATGAATGAAGGACTTTGATTGATGATTTTCAATTGCATCACCACATAAAAGGTTGTAATGGAGGTTATTATTATTATTTATATTTGCTTAACATTCTTCTATTGTAGGCTGTCGGCTTAATTGCGGCTGTTGGAGATTTTGTCACCTTGAAAGTTGGCACCCCTGTTGCTTTTATGACTTTTGGCAGCTATGCAGAATTCACAATGGTATTTAGCTATTACCTTAGTCATTTTGACATTTTTCTATAACTCTGTTCATTTGTTGGTATTTTAAGTATTTTACTTATCCATATCTCACTAACTTTCTCTTTTTGTTTCTTACTTGGATTGTGCAGGTTCCTGCAAAACATCTACTTCCTGTGCCCAGGCCAGATCCAGAGGTTGTTGCAATGCTTACATCTGGTTTGACGGCTTCAATTGCTTTAGAAAAGGTTTGTTCTATAGTTCTCTTATAGTTTTTCTTCTACTTCTTCAGCATCTTGTTCAATATAAATGTACCCTTAGAAAAGTTATGTTACTCTTTTTGAAAGGTCTGATATAACAAGGGAATAGTTATATCATGTCCCAGAATCCTGGACAAGGTTCAATGGCTGTCCCTTCCCCTAACATGGCTTGTATTGAAACTAATACACTGCCTTGTATATATGTATTTGCAGAAGTCTTATTGCTGGGGTGATCCAACCCTTACTCCCTCTTCAAACAAATGTTTCATCTTATAGTTCTTCGCCAAACCCAACCTCTTCAAACAAATGTTTCATCTTATAGTTGTTCGCCAAACCCAACCTAACCAATAGCTTCTATTGCAAATAGGGTAGCAATTGTCAACTTTTAACTTCTATCAAAGAAGTAATTCATAAAGTAAAGCATTAATTCTTAATTTTTATACTATATTTAATAATCATCAGACCTCCCTTAGAGCTTGTTCTTTCACCTTCAGGACCTACCAGTTCCCGGATTTTAAGCAACTGACAGATATTGAAAGATCAAGATATAAGGTTGGAAAAGTTTCCCAAGCAATTATCATTGAAAGAAATATACTACTTTGCAGCATTATTTGTGGAAGTGCAGCTTCCTGTTCCTTTTTTTAGTAGTTAGCCTTACGTCATCTTCGGAGGTAACAAATTATGCTTCCAAAGAATAAGGATGTGACGGTAGAGATAGGGCATTTGAAGACTACTCAGCAGTTCTATATCTTCTATCTTTGTCAATCATTTCTAGTAAATTATGTTTTTTTGGTTCATGGAGGTTTCTATGATATCAACTGTTATTTGATTGTCTGTGATGCAACATTATGAATATTTATCCTATCTTGAAAATAAATTATCTTTCATAATTTTAGGCTGGGCAGATGGAATCTGGACAAACAGTTCTTGTTACAGCAGCAGCTGGTGGGACTGGACAATTTGCAGTTCAGGTTAGTGATATACATGCAGCAGTTGCTGTATGTTTATGTATTTATTCATGTATATTTACTAGTTTTCCTGTTGGGTTCACTTGGTGCTGATAAATGGAAATGATGTACTGGTCTCTTGTGCTATGTGGTTTAATTTAGCGTTACACAAATATTAATATACGAAACTCATAATTCAAAAGAAACTAAGCATTCTGACTAATATTGAACATCACAACAACATCCATTTACTTTTCCTATGGATTGATTAATACTTTATTTATTTATTTATTTATAATTTTGAATAGTATATGGTTACAATGTCAGTGTAATACTTAATCTTCTTTAAATTTCGTGTTTGGACAAAGCTTTTACTGCTATTAATGGAGATAACTAGATATGCAGTGTGTATGTAAGCTTCATGTAATTTGATTGATGAAGCTTTTAGAAGGACTAAGGTGATGATGATTGATGAGATTCTAGTTCATATTTACTGTGGATTTCTTCATATCCCAACATTGGCTTTTAGCCACAGAAAATCCTATTATTCCATGATTTTCTTGTTTGTCTCACTTAAAAAAAAAATATCCAGTGAAAGCTGACTCTGCTAAAGAAATACCTTTTGTTACAGCTTAATATCCCTTTTTCTTCTAGCAATTCTACGAATACATTTTTTGACATAGATACTAATACAATACTTTGGAATTCGTCATATTCCAACATTGGCTTTTAGCCACAGAAAATCCAATTATTCCATGATTTTCTTGTTTGTCTCACTTTTTTTTAATATCAAGTGAAAACTGACTCTGCTAAGGAAATAGCTTTTGTTACAGTTCAATATCCTTTTTTCTTCTAGCATTTCTACGAATGCAGTTTTTGACATAGAAGTATGTGTTAGCACTGTAATTGTCTGATGTTTGATATGTGTAGTTATCAGGGGACTTTGATAGAAATACTTGGAGGAAAATGGAACATCTATTGTATTGTTTGTTCTCTTCTCCTCCTCTTTCACCTGCTCTTCTGCCGCTGCCCCCTTTTCCTTGCACTTTTCTCTCCTGCTCTCTTTTCTCCTCCCTCTTCTTTCTCTTCTATGGCTTTTGGTGGACAACTTTTTGCTATCCACTTAAGTTGACACAAGTTTTGCTCTCTCTCTCTATATATATATGTATATATATATATATATATATATGAAACTATATTTGTGGAGTCACAACTTAATGTTACTTTTACATCAGCAACAACTTTTATTTATAATCTAGAAATCTATTTCTGTTTATTTACTTTTCCTCTTCTTTATTAGCCTATTTACACCTTTTCTTCTCTTATTTTCCTCTTCTTCTTCTTCAGTATAGTTCATAAAGTTTTTGGCTTCTTTTGGTATGGTTACTTCATTGTGTTCCTTTCCTTTTTTTCCTTTCGTTGTCCTATTCTCTTCTCTTCTCTTCTTCTTTTTCTCTGCTTTGCCTCAATACTACTTTGTCTTCACCTCTTCTCCCTGAACATTGTTACCAAAGCACTTCATAGAACTGTAGATTCTTTGCCACTTTCCATAAGGAGGCTTCTGACATGGAAAGAGAGTTACCTAATTTATTAATTATAATCATCATGTACTTAATGACACAAGGATATTAATTTGATTCATCTCAAATTTAATTATTATTTTGTTTAAATACTAAGAAAGACATTTATGGCTGCGGTCACGCCTTACTTCAGTGAAGTTCAGTAAGACGTATGTCTCACCAACTACCTTGTGTCTTCTGCCTTAAGCGCGTAAGGCATTTACACCTTGACAGATCAGTGGTATATATTTCTAACAAATTTAGCATATATGACCTACATGCTCAGCTTGAGGGGGGGGGGTATTCTTGTAATTTCATTATTTTTGTATGCACTGAGAAGAAAGGAGTGATTATGATCCTCAAATGTACCTCATAAGTAATAACGCCAATAATACTTTTTTTTTGCTACTTCCTTCACATGTTCTTTTTCATATATATTTTCAGGGAATAATTGTCTGTGCTTCATTGTCTTACTAGATCTTTAGCTATGAATGTTTCTGTTTTGACGATGTTGATTGTTTTTATTTTATATGGAAACTATGAAGCAGATGCTTATTTGTAGCTATTCTCCTCCCTCCCTCAATTGTTCAGACACTCAGCCGATTTTGTAATTTAGAGAAGCTTCATGTATTGAGGATTCATTATATTCCATTTTCAGTCATATACAGTGTATTTTGTGTAGGAAATGCAATATTCCCCTTATGGAGTCACATCCTGAGGGATGATTCCCATGCATTGGATTCTTTGGAATGTTGCATTGATGTGTTTGTAAACTTTGACCATTCCTGGAACGTTAACAAAAAGATGATGTCCGCCGGCAATGTAAGGAAAGATGAAGGTAGTCTTGCATCAGCTATGGGAGAAGAACAGAAGAGGAGAAGATAGGAGAGGATGTGGTTTGATGAGAAAAAGGAAGTCTAGCTGAGATTAGGGTTGAATAGAGCAAAAAAGACGGGGGAGGATTTAGAAAATTAAGATAGATGTAACCTAGGAAGATGATTATCTCATTCTGCATGTCCTGCAGGTAGAAAGAAAGTTACTGTGTCGCTGCATTCTTCGGAAATACATTGAAAAAGAAAAGTGAGATTCCTGATTGATGATATGTGAGAGATCCTCCTATCTTTACCGATAATGATTTTCTTATGGGTTCCTGGAATGTTGGGTGCACTAGTTCCAAATGCGAGACCCGTTACAACTCACATTCTGAAAAGATTCAAATGCATGGTGACAGTGATTTATATATTATGCTACTTGTCAATTACTCCATGTTAGTGCTTCCACTTGTTATCATCACACTTAGATTCAAGTCAAGTAAGTACTCTCTTTTTTATATTTTTGCTTATTTCTAATATGCTAGTTGCTTTCAGTTTGGAGCCATTTCTGCAGTCTCATGTTTCTATAAATTTTCTTCTTTTTCCTGTCAGTGATTGTACATGTAAGATTCTTAGTGACTTATGTTCAAATGAACATTGTTTTATTTGACTCCTAAACCATTCTCGAATTATAACAACAACCTGATACTGGTGTGGATTTTGATTTCAGATCTGTGACCACTGACCATTTATTTCACTTTTTAAATGTTCTGCTGATATAAGTTTTGTACTTTTTTTTTGTAGCTAGCAAAATTGGCTGGAAATAGAGTAGTTGCTACATGTGGAGGTGCTAAAAAAGCTGAACTATTGAGCTCCCTGGGTGTTGATCGCGTTATTGATTATAAGAAGGAAGATATAAAACATGTATGCTTAGATATTCTTCGAAATTATTTGTCTGTATTCACATGCATTTTCTATACATAATTTACTTTGTTCTGCAGTAACTGGTAAGTGTTCATAATTATAACTTGAACCGTCTTTCGCTCAAAAGTTGATAAATAGAATTGTTGAAATCAAGAAGTTAAATCAGAGTTCTAATCTGATGATAATAGTCAATTGGAAGCTTGAAAAATGCACTTGATATGGGAGATAAACAGAAATAGGCAGTATAAGATGATTTGGGGTGGCAACTGGGTCGGTCCAGAGTGTCTTAAGAAAAGTCTGATCTCAGGTGAAACTGACAAATTTTCCCTAATGGTTATATTTCTGAAGCATAACAGAACAATGTCTACTTTTCTGTGCCATATTAAGCGCCTCAGTGCAGCAGGATAAAAGTTGTTGAAGAAGGTTCCTTACAAAGTTCTCTTAGATAATCATAATGCAACAAGGTGGCTACTTTTTTGGACCAAATAACAAGATTTTATTCACTATTAGTTGGCCAGTTGGCTTTGGACCCTATCCATGCCAAAGTGGAGAGATATATGATGGTCTCACTCTGTTCAAATTTAAGTGTTTCTGGTTTTTCAAAGTCATGAGATTCTGATTTATTCCCATAGTGGAAATATGTATGTGATGAATTTATGGTTAGATGAGTTTTTAGCTTGTAGCTCAAATAGGAAAATGAATATAGTTCCGAAAATTCAGTTAATGCTTTTGCCAGTGTGGTTCTTAGCATATTAATCTAATTTGTTTCTCTCTTTCTAATATTTGAGTAAATTTCAATGTCATGCTTTTGGAAGACTAAACATCCACCTGAAACCATAGTTACCAGACATATATGGATCGGACCTGTGTCTGGACTTGGGAACATATCATATTCGATAAATATGAAGGACACGGTGAATATTCAAAGTAACAGATATTGTTTGTAAAATGATCAGCAAGAAAGAAATTAACGGGTCTATATGGATTTGGATCTTCTCCACTACTAAAAAAGTAGCGGAGAGACCACTACTTTAGTTATAGCCATTGGTTTATCTACTAAGTAGTTATGATTCATTTTAATTCTAACACTCACCATACCTTCATGAAAAAATAAATCACAACCATCCACTAAACAAATAAAAGGTTGTGATATAGTAGTGATCTCTCCACTACTTTTCTGTAGTGGAGAGAATCCGAATCCAGTCCACATATGATAGTTCTCCTAAATATCACCTAGTGTTTTGTGCTGTCTTATTTAGCGGACCATACTATGTAGTCATGAAATTGTCATCATACCTTGTAGTTGTGAAATTTCTGTTGTATTCTTTCCTGATTATTTTTCTTACTAGAGCCTTATTAGCAATGATTCTTATAATTGTAGTGACAAGATCTCAGCGTGTAATAATTTAGCTATCAGTACATTTTAATAGATGAATTTTGCTGGCCTTCTTTTTTAACAGGTCCTGAAGAAAGAATATCCTAAAGGAGTTGATATTATCTATGAATCCGTTGGGGGTGAAATGTTTGATCTATGTTTAAATGCACTAGCAGTTTATGGACGGCTAATTGTAATAGGAATGATCTCTCAGGTTATTTTATGCAACTTTTGAATTTTGTATATCGCTACATTCTGCATTTGCATGTTTCTAAATTATAATACATAATAGACAGAATTGTTTTTCCCTTGGGCATGTGCAATTTCTTAAGCAACCCAACTTTGGAGTTTTCTTTTGCGGTGGTAAGGTCCTTTGACTTGGTAACAGAGCAACCCAAGTTTGAACCTTTCTGGCCACAAATTTCTTAAGCGATGTAGAAAAAAAATACCATTTTGTGAGTCCAGGTTTCGGCCCATGAAAGGGCGCTCAACTTGCGCGGTTATTGTGAGTATAAAATTATAACCCTTAACCCTCACCATAACTTCATAGTTTTGGTGTAGTGGTAGGGTGCTTTGCCTCAGCCAACGGGGGATCTTATAGTATAAAATTATAACCATCAATCCTCACCTCAACTTCAGTGGTGTAGTGGTAGGATCCTTTGATAACGTACTATACCCTTGATTTTCAGAATTTGACATAGCTCATATCTGTCTTTCATCATGTCCGTATACCATATCCATAGTAGTCCAACCTAGTTGTTCCCTTCTCTACCTCACTTTTCCATGTTATATATGATGAAACAACTCTGTTCTACTGATTCTGGGGCTCTTTTCCATGGCATGCTATATTGACTATTAGTTAGAGAGTTTTTGCATTGTGCTTAAACATGTTAAATCAAATAAATAGGGGAAGTCATGTTGTTTAAGTTAGAAGACATAAATAAGCTATTAATTTGGTGTCACAGACATGGTGTTTCCAAGTGATAAGCATTTATGTGTCAGATATGGGAGTTATTAAAATTTGGATTTTTTTTGGGTGGGGGGGGGGGGGGGGGGGGGGGGGAAT